AGAAGGTAGGAATTAATGAGTAGAATCATTACAGGTTTTATCTGAAGCTACATTAATCATTGTTACCTAAATCATCAGTAGAGATGGAACTGACATTACAGACAGGAATTGTATAATTAGGAAACTACCGCTGGAATGAGACATCAATATAGCATCCTTTAGGTTCCTCAGTGTACCACTTTGGCGAATCATGCTGAATGTCTAGATGATTACTACTAAAACTTCTTTGTGGGGGCCTCCCTGTTGGCACAAGGGGTGAAGCACCACACAGTGAAGCAATCCACAGCCTCTGCAGCATGAGTTCCATCCCCAGCCGGCCGGGGAGCAGGCCGGGGAGCAACCCACATGGCGCAGCAAACCTCTTCTGACTCACCCGCTGCTCCCCTCAGCAGTGTACTTTGGTCAATCTGCCTGTTCTGTTCCCCACTCTGTCCCTGGTAAATCCTCTCACTCCTGCATCTCTGGCCTGTACCCCAGCTCTTATATGCATAAATAAATAAAAACTTTAAAAAAATTTCTTTGTGTAACTGCATATATAAAAATATATATTAACACTGAAGTGTTACCATTATATTTGAGTTTTCAAGTAATAGGGATGGAGCCATGGTGTAGATTTGTCCATATTCTGTTACCCATGTTCCACTGGGACCTGCAATTGTGAAATAGCTGGCTGAGGTTAGGGTTACAGACTATGTCCATGTAACTAAATGAGGCTAACTTAAACAAATGGGAATTGAACCACCAACTTTGACCTCAGTAATTGCATGCTCTCAACAACTGAGATTTGCCAGCATCTGAATAAGACTTAACAAATTCATTCTCTGGAACTGAAAGTTTGGATTTTCTTTAGGAGGACGTAATGTATTCACTTAACCAAAGAGATCTAATACATATATAATTTTAAATATATCTACCATATACTACGTGCCATTTGCTAGTCCTAAGTTATGCTCCCATGAAATGTAGAGAGAAAACGATTTCTAACTGGTAGGAACGTTGTTCAAAATTATATAACTAGTTGTGAAAACACTCGAAAGCACAATATATAGTAGATTAATATTATCATAATTAGAAGAGACTGTATTCTAGAAAACCAGAATCATATCTATCATAGCAATTGGATACAAATATGGAAATGGAAAGTGTTCCGAGGAGTAACATGATCAGATCTGTGTTTTAGAAAGATTACTTTGGCAGAAGTGTGGAGAATGGATTGGCAGGGGATGAGGGGCATGAAACAGTGGGACCAGGGGCGACCAGTCATTAGGATGCTATTGCAGACAGCTCAGACAAGAGTACATGGATTCAAGAGACATTATGTAGGGTAGAATTGAAAAAAAATCTTGGCAATCAATTGATGGATGGGTTGTTGAGGGGAGATGGATATGAAGGAAAATAAAAAATATTACTTCCCATCTGAGAAATAAGAAGTGCTAAAGAATAGGTACTACAAATATCACTTTTCTCCCTGATCCACTTCAGACAATATTCAGTTGACTCTCCCGAATATAGTGATTGAGCAATCAACTTTTTTCCTTTCCATTTGTTTTCAGTTCCTTCTGGGAGCAGTCTCATGGAGCCACAAATCTCCCGATTCTGAGTTCTGCTCCCAAGACTTGGTGTATTGGGAAGGGGTACCATTCATGGGGTCAGCGTAGGAGTATTAGGTCTCAGAGAACAGGCTGGCCCCAGTGGGACACCCAGCCATGCATGTCAACAGGACTCTAGCCAAGCGGGGAATCTGATGATTGGCTAAACAAGTCTGGAAAAGTTTCACGTTGAAGAAGTGATTCCAAGTACTGGATCTTAGGGTGAGGCAAGGTAGTAAGAAGAAAAATGAGTCATGAGGTAAGAAATTAGAACAGACTGGGGAAGAGTTAGGAATGAGTATGAGATAAACTCGGGTAAATGGTTCAGGAAAGAAGCCATGAATTTTGAAAGAATGAGGGAGGCCTGTTTGTATGAATGTGGGCAGGTTCATACAGGCAAATACCTGATAGCTTGAAGGCACTGAACAGGCCCAGACACCCTATGTGGAATCCCTAATCCAAAGTATCTCTGCCTCAGGACCTGAAGAAACCTACATTCTTATCATTATAGCAAAGTTTTCTGTTGCTGAAGATTGCAGGAGAAATATATTTTCTCAACAAGTAAGACCACACAGTCTTTCACCCATCCCCCTTGAAATTTATGGGACAGATGATTTTTAACCCAGAAGTCTAAATCCGAAGCTATCTCGCTTTCTCATTCCATCGAGTAACTATTTTCAAGGACAAATCCTGTAATTTAGAAGCGCAGACTGCTGCCTTCGCTGTGTTTAACAGGTAGCAGAGGCTTGGTGACTGACAACTGCCAGGCTGTAACTTGGAGAATAGTCCTTGGTTTTCAGATTTGCTGTAACATGATACCGGGCACAGAGTACATATTTTACTTCCAGAGAATGTGTAATTTTGTTCAACTTTTTTTGCTCAGGCTGCTACAATCTGTCCATGCTGTTTTAGGCCTTCCAAGTTCATCCTGGCCTTGTGGTTGACAAAGAATAAAATAACAAAGTAGGAAAAGTACAAAAGAAGAAAATACATCCATTCTCCACTCCCCCCATATAGTAGCAGTTCTAAAGGGAGAAAAAGCTGGACAAGAGAAGGCTTGTGAGGGAAAATCCGAGAGAGAAAGGCTCAGTAATCACAGCAGCCTCTGCAGCCTCAGCAGCCTCCCCCCTGTGTTTTGGGCTTTGTTCTGTTCTAAAGCTTCTCCCCAGCCTCTGCCATCTCTGGTTTCCAGAGCCCTCTGATCACTGTCATGGACCAGTTATGGGCAATTCCCTTTGTTCTACTAAGACAGGGTTGGTATTTTTTTTCAATAATTCTTTATTTTTTTAAGATTTATTTATTTATACAAGAGCTGGGGTACAGGCCAGAGGTGCAGGGGGTGAGAGGACTCACCAGAGACAGAGTGGGGAACAGAACAGGCAGGTTGACTGAAATACACTGCTGAGGGGAGCAGCGGGCGAGACCGGAAAGGTCTGCTGCACCATGTGGGTTGCTTCCTGGCTGGCCGGGGATTGAACCTGCGCTGCAGAGGCTGCGGACAGCTTCATAGAGCTGCACTCAACCTGCTGCACCACCGGGGAGGCCCTAGGGTTGGTATTTTTTCAAGAGGATTTTCACTAGGGAAGAAAGAGGAAACAGTAGCAAGTTAACTCTGATGCCTAGAACTGCACAAGATTCTTCATTCTAAGACAATGATGCTCTAAGTAGACTCCCAAGACCAGCAGTATCTCAGTACCACGAAATTTACTAGAAATGCATATTCTCAGCCCATACCAGAACTTTTGAATCAGAAACTCTGGAAGGAAGGCTCACTCATCCTCTGCCACTGAACAGACTCTTCAGGTGACTATTACCAGTCCAAGTTTGAGAACCACTGTTACAGGGAAAGTGCAACCTAGTCTGACATGGCCTTGGCCTGTCCCACCTGCTTTGTTTGCATCAGTCATGTTTGCTTCTGTTTGCCTCTGACCGTGTTTGCCTCAGTAGCAGCAACTCTAACTTTGGGCCTGAAGACTCCATGTTCTAGACTTGCATTTTTGCATTTGAGTCAAGTATTACTAATAGTAATCATTGCGCTGCAGAGGCTGCAGATTGCTTCATAGTGCGGTGCTTAACCCCTTACGCCACCAGGGAGGCCCAGGAATTCTATTTTTTACCTGCTACTCATGTGCTCTGCACTGTGCTAAGTACATTCATCACACTTACTGTTTGACTTGATCCTCACAGCAGCTTTCGAAGGCAAGCTTTGGGACCAGCATCCTCCAAATGAGGAAAAGTAGGCTCAGAGAATCTCAGTGACTTGCCCAAAGGATGCCAGATAGTAAGGAGTAAGGCCAGGACTTATACCGAGGTGTCTGTGACTCCAAAGTCCACACCCATGATTTCAATACTGCCCCTACAAAGATGCATGCCTCCTGTGGTAGACACCATCATTCTGGAAGCTTCTCCCATCCCATGTCAACTCCTTATCGTGACTAGATGACTGATCAAGTGCTGATACATTAACCTTTCCACATATTATCCCAGAACAGTTGCTTAACCTCTTTGAGCTTCAGTTCCTTTGTCCCTAAAATGGAGAAATAATCCTGACCTCAGAGGGTGGCTATGAGGATCAAATACATAAATATATGTAAAAGTGCTATCAACTGTGAAACTGTAACAGAAATAAAAGGTATCCTATCTTCATTGTATGGATGAGGAAAGTTAAGGCCGGTGTGGTTGCCTGACTTAAACAAAAACTGTTGGCTTTCCTTGTCATTTAAGGGTGTGAAAAAGCCTCTGCTCCCAAAACACCTCTACTTGCAACTAGAAGAGCCATATTTAATATATATTAGCTTAATCTCTATTAAGGAAATAAAAATGCTTTCAGGTCAGGGTAACACAATGGGTAGAACACAGATACATTTTGATCAAGAGAGCTGAGAATGACCTAAAATCAGGACAACGCCTGGAGGAGTACCGACATAGATACTGGCCCCTGAGATGGGCTTAGGGTAGCCAGAGGCCACAGGGTCAGGGTAAAGAGAGCCAAGAGAGAGCAGAAAATGCTTTGAGCACTAACAGAAAGAGCTTAAAGAACTGGGCAGTGTGACCATTTTGCTGTTGGCCAAATTATCCATACTACCATTTAAAACCCCATTTAGTCCTATCTCTCCTTAAAAAGTCTTTAAAGTGAGGTATGAAATACTTCTAGAACAATCTTCTCTTTTCTTTTTTTTTTAAATTTTTAAATTTTTAAATTTTTTTTATTTTTTAAATAATAGATTCAATCTTCTCTTTTCATTTGTGCCTTTGCCCTTCCTGTTTCTCAGCTTTCTATTCTTTTCATTTTTCTTTTTATACTTCCCTCAGATAAGTTTAAGTCTCCATGAATCAGAAAACTGTTCACTCCCAGACTTTCTTCTCTTCTCTGTGTTGTTTTTTTTTTCATGGTGTGCTCAGAACACATACAGTGTTTCAATAAGATAGAGGTCGCCCAACCAAGGAGGGTGCTGATACATTTTGTGGAAACTGGCAGTGCTAAACCAAGTGCAAGAAGCCCAAGCAACACTGGACGGATCTGTCCCTGGCTTTCATGACGACTGAGGTGACAGAGAAGGCACTATGTAAGTTTCCCTGGGAGGATTTTTACATAGGGATTCTTCTTTAAGCTACTTTCCTGCTTTTCCTGGTATGAAATATTATTTTCTCTGACATGCCATTTCTTAAAGAAATATGGGCATGAACTAACCTGAGGTTGCCTAGAGGAGGGGGACTAAAGGAAAACCATCGACCTGTGCTTTTTGTGACACTGCATTCTTCTGCAAGTAATTTTTAAGTATTCCATTTCGACAAGGCAAAACTTTGCTTTAAATAGGATCCTGGGTAATTTAGGCTATCAATGAAAATAGATTCCAGTATTGCATATATGACAACCATCTTGAAATACCCACAAGGAATTCTTGTACCATTCTCCTACTTATGTCATAATTAAAAAGGAAAAGCCGCACTTGGCTAAATTTCTGGTCCATCCAGCCCAGAATTTTATAGGGGGACTCAGAGACATGTTGGCTAAAGGGTGTGGCTGTCCTCCTTAATGACAACCTTAAAGGTTAAAGATATTTCACAAGATTCTCTTAGTAAGCTATCTTGACTTTATCTTCCACAAATATAGTCTAACTCCTTGATTCCTTTTCCAGCTCAGCTTTTACTGTTTCTCAAGGTGGTGAGCTCCATAGGTTTTGCTGTCCATTGTGTGACGTCTCACTTCGTTTTGTTTGTCTTGGATTTGACTCAAGTTTTTAAGGTCTATGCTGAGGTCTAGTCAGTAAATCGCTTTGATCACTATTTATTTTGTACCTACCCTGTGTGATGCTTTAATAATAAAGATAATAGTGGGACTACCTTAGAGGGTTAATAAGTCTTGAATGATCCAATACACAGCAACTGCTTTTACCTGTTCCAGGCATAGAATTAGTACTAAATAAGCAGTAATTTCTGATAGTCCTTGTTTTTGTATGTTTGGCCACTACCTCAACCTTCATTTTTTAGGGTAAAAGAATCCTAATATTTTGAGTCTGTCTCCATATAGCTCCTTCTCATTTCTTTGTTATTGCTGTCCATTTGTACATCACCATGAGCTCCATTTAGCCTTTCTTGATTGATGGACTTTACATCAAACACTACATGTCTGCACCATGTTTTTATATTTTTTTTCAAAAATAGGATAATGTGTTATTCTGCTTCTTGTCTATTTTCCATTGGTGCCCAGCATTTTGTTGACCTTTCTGGCCAAAATGGCATGGTGAGCTGAAATTGAGAAATAGCTATATCTCTTCAATCGCTTTCCAGAGCCAAAGTTAACAACAGATCTTACTAATTGTATTGCATAGTTAAATGGAGTATTTCTGTAACATTTTACCTTACTGAGATAATCTATTATTCCCATTTTGCCAGTCCCCGATTTTGAGAGATTTTTTTTTTTGCCACTTATGCTACATCAGCTGGGCATTTCACTAATGAGAAGTTAGTCTAGCTACAGAAGCACCACTCTGTATACCTTATTTTACACCGTTTATAACACTTAAATAAGTCTGGGACCTTGGGAATCTTAATGCTGTCACAATTCCATCCAATGAAGCATCCTTTTTCCTAGCCTCCATTCCATTCTGTAAGTTGACTCACCTTCTATGACAAAATGCCTCCCCAAATCCCATGGGGGCTAATTTAACGCGAAAAAATTCAATGGTATGGAAGCTTGTCAAGGCTTTTTAAAAAAGTCTATGCAAATTCTATCCCCTGTTCCACCTTGTCCATATGTTTATTTATTCTCTTGAGAAGAGCTAATAGATTAGTTAGATGTGATTTTCCCACACAGAAATCCTGCTGCCTTCTTTCTGAAAGGTCATGTTTGACTGTGACTCTAGATTTATTATTTGACTATAAAATAGTGGCTCAGAGATTCCCAGGCTTCATTTTCTGAGAATTATTTTCATATAATCATTAAATGTCAGTGCTGGAAAGAACCTTCAAGATGGCCCAATTTTCTTCCTTTCACAACAAGGAAACTGAGGCCTAAAAGGCTTCTGCCAAACTCATTTTTCATTTATTAGTCTGTTAACAACTGGAGTAAAAGTCTTATTCAGGATTGTGCAAAAATGTTTGGGCATATGTTTTCTCTGATATCTCAAAAGGAATGTGTTTTTCTTACCATGGAATTTATGATAGATAACATTTATGGAAGCAAAATGGTTTCATTGTTACATTTAACTTTGTTGTCATATACTTTCGTTCACAAGCTTGCTTTTTTTTTTCTTATTGCACTTCAGAAATTCTACCCCTAAAATATACCAGCTTTCTTGTTATTGTTAAAATCACACTGTCATACATCGGGGAGGGAAAGGAAGAGGGTCAAAACAGGGGAGGGAAGAGCACAAGAGACTATGGTGACAAATCACAGGTGATGTGGTGTTGGGAGATTTATGGGGACTATATCTGAGGAGAGAAATCAAATAGTGTATAAAATGAACAACAAAAAATAAATTAATAAATCTAAAATAAATCACATTGCTAAACTTATGTTTATTATGTATCAGGTAGTGTTATAAGCACAATTATATAGATTCTTGTTTAAAGTTCAAAGGTGGGCAGTATGAATCCACAATATTCAAAGACAAGAAATAGATACATTTGAGCAGGAGGTGCAGTGACTAGGTGAGAGCATTGAGATGTTTTCTGTGGTGCAGGTAGTATGCTATTTCTTGGATTGAGCAAAGGATACACGAGTGTGTTAACTTTGTGAAAATTCGTGAGCTGTTTGACAATTGTGATTTGGGCAACTTTCTGTATCTGTGTCAAACATCCATGAAAGTTTAAAGAAAAAACAACACTCATTTAAGCCCTTAAAATAATTCGACTAGGTTGGTATAGTTATTGCCTACATTTGACAGGTGAAGAAACAAGTACTGAGAAACTAAATACTTTTCTGAAGAACACAAAGCTAGTATGTAAACAACACTGGGATTTGAACTTAAACCTGAGTCCTCAGTCCATGTTCTTAATTCAGGCATAATACACCACCTCTCAGAGTTGATTTTTTTCAATAGGTTATTTGCTTTTTCAATCTCACGATGACTTTGCCTTTGACCCTAACTGCCTCTACTTTTGTATTTACCTTCATTATATATCACCACCCCTTGCTTGAACATACCTACACAAACACACATACAGGAAACTACATTAAATACATAACTTCCCTGCCCTTGCTATCTCTTTTTATGCCCCTCCTTGTCCCTTAGAGATGTCTGTGGTGAGCCTCCCCAAGAAACTAAAGTAGAAAACCCCCAATCTGAAAATCTAAGAACATTCCCAATGTAAAAAGACAATACCCTAAAAATCCTTATAAATAATCTCTAAGAGCAGAAGTCACACTGTAGTCTTTTGTTATAAACTAAATATTTTAGGGACTCAAAAAATCATGGAAGAAAGGAAGGTATTTTAGATATTCTGGATTCCAACACACTCCACCTGAATTTTTATGCAACTTCTGGGCAAGTCAAAGTGCTTTTGTAAATAAAGGTTAGATTTTTCAAAGACCCATGAGGGTTGCTGAAAATAGTGGAAGGGGAGAGGCAAATTCACAGGGGAAAGCACTAGCACTAGTGTGAGGGTCAATTCTGCCTTAGATACTGCAGTAAAGCAATATCTCATTTCATCTTCATTATCTCATTTACTCATTACCACCTCCATTTGAAGGAGATATTAATAACCCCATTTTGGAGAAAGGAAAATGAGACACAGACATCAAGTTCATATGACTAATAAGGTCTGTCTGACTCCAAAGTCCATGTTTTTTTCCATTAAATTTTACCATCTTTAAAAAAGTACATGCTCCTTTACCTGTTTAGAATAAAACTATCAAAAGACAGAAGAAAATGGTATGAGTAAATATGTGATATAGATTTCTTTTTAACACACTCTTTTTAGAAAACTCCTCTTACAAAAAAAGGAAGCTCTCACGCTTTACAAACAACACAAAGATACTTTGTGAAGGAAGAGAACGATGTTTTGGACAACAGTCAATTCCACACACAGTGAATCACGCTTTTTCTTTAATCTTTCTTCTTGGAGAGCACAGAAGGAAAAATTAGTTCAAAAATATTCTAGATGTTATCACTTTTAGAATGAAAACTCTTACTAAAAATACTGTGACCAAATTATATTATCAATTAGAGTAAATTAAAATAAATTCAAACTTGCAAATCTATGATCTTGCCCATGAGGTATTTGTTAGTTATGATTTTCTCAAATATTCCACATAGAGCTAACACTCTGCCTTCCATTCTTTCTTTTTTTTTTTTTAAAGATTTATTTATTTATTTATACAAGCACTGGGTACAGTTTGAAGCACGGGAGGGTGAGAGAATTCACCAGAGCCAGAGCGGGGAGCAGAACAGGCAGAGTGAGGAAGTACACTGCTGAGGGGAGCAGCGGGCGGCAGGAGAGGTCTACGTGCCATGTAGGACCCTCGCCCTTTGGCCGGGGATCGAACTGGCGCTGCAGAGGCTGCCGGCAGCTTCGCAGCCCAGCGCTCAACCGCTGCACCGCCGGGGAGGCCCTCTACTTTCCATTCTTTATAACTAATAGAAGTATAATGTGTAGGGCCTCCCTGGTGGTGCAAGGGGTTAGAGCATCGCACTATGAAGCAATCCACAGCCTTGATCCCCGGCCAGCCAGGGAGAAACCCACATGGCGAGACAGACCTCTCCTGCCTTGCCCACTGCTCCCCTCAGCAGTGTGTTTCAGTTAGTCTGCCTGTTCTCTTCCCCACTCTGTCTCTGGTGAATCCTCTCACCCCCTGCATCTCTGGCCTGCACCCCAGCTCTTGCATGCATAAATAAATAAATATTTTTTAAAAATCACTTAAAAAAAGAGTAAAATTTTTAAAAGTATGAATTCTGGTGTTGCACCCCCAGATTCAAGTCCTGACTATAAACCCTAATAGCTATATGACCTTGCCTTTTGGTTAAATTTGAATTTCAGGTAGATAACATTTTTAAGTGTATATTATATATATATATATGTCAATAAAAGTATGACTCATCAAATTATTCATCACGCACCTAAA